TTCATCTAGTTCTGAAGGGTTACTCAATGTCGCCTTGATCAATCAGCCAACCATCTTCATAACAAGATTTGTTGAAAAGTCCTGGATTTTCTGTGAGAGCTTCATTAATTTCAGTTACTTCTCTTGACAGGAGTATACAGAATACAGTTCACTAGCAGCTTTCACACTTTCCAAAGCACCAAACTCATCTTGTTTGTTCAATTTTGTCCCGATTTCAGGCAGACTACAGCAAACAACATCTCCCAAAGCTTCCTATGCAAAATTGCTGATTCCCACTGTTCCAATACCATTTTGTTATCCATTCATGTTTTTCTGTGAATTTATGCGCGAGAGCAGACTGGAGCTGGTCTGGATGGCATCCGCCCTCAGGCCCTAGGCCACGGCCTGCACGTACAGGTGCCGCTCGGAGCGCCATGTTCGCTGGTCCGTTGTGCCTTTATGTGCCCACTATCACATTTTCTTACCCATTTATATGTGAGTATGGTTCACATTATGTGTGTGTGTGTGTGTGTGTGTGTGTGTGTGTGTGTATGTTATATATATGTCTACAAGTCACACTTTTATTAACATTATTGGGTATAAGTGACATACATGAAACTGCATATATTTTAAATGTATAAATTATTAAGTTCTGGCATACATATAGACTACAGCCAACATAATGAATATATCCAATCGCCTCCAAAAGTTTCCTTGTGCCCTTCTGCTTCACTGTCCCCTTCCAAAAAACTACTGATCTGCTGTTATTAAAGATTACAGGTAGTCCTTGCTTTTGTACAGTGGTATGGTACTGTAAAATGACTGTGTAAGCTGAAACTGTGAAAAGCAATCTTAATAAACAATGGGAAAAATTATGATTGTTCAGTGAGCCTTAAAATTTTTGTCAAAACATTGAAAAACCAAAAAAAAAAAAAAAGGAAAAAAAAACATTGAAAAACCGCTTATTGTTGGCTATAAATATATAGGAAAATAAAAAATAGTAAAACAAATGTGTATTTAATACACTATAATTGTATACACTGAGAATTTAAACTGTTCTTTATAAGAACTTATCAAGAATACAGTGCTTGACTTTTCTTTTTTTAATCCTCACCCGAGGACTTTTTTTTTGCATTTACAGTATCTTCAGATAGAGTGGGAGGGAGAGAGGGAGGAAGAGAGAGAGAGAAACATCAATGTGAGAGAGACACATTGAGTGGTTGCCACCCACACGACCCCAACTGAGGCAGGGACAAACTGTAACCAAGGTATGTGCTCTTAGCAGAAACCGAACCCGGGACTCTCTGGTCCGCAGGCCGACGCTCTAACCACTGAGCCAAACCGGCCAGGGCTTGACTTCTTTTCATCACATAACTTAAGATAAAGAGCAAATGTCATTTTTATGCCTTGAGAAATTGTTATACTTCCTTCTAAATTTAGATCAGTTTCTAACATTTGGTCTTTTGTGCTTTCAATGTTGTAAAATATTCCTGAGAGGTCCTTCAATGTGCAGATTTTTGCTGGCACCATTTTCTCTGGGACTTCATTCTTTTCACTAGTCACTTTATGTATGTCCATAAGTTCACCTTCACTAACTTCCTTTGGCTGCATATCTAGAGCCTCTCAACAAGTATATCCACACTCAGCTAATTATTTTATAACTACATTTAGTTTAATTTAAAATTCTCTTCCAGTATTATCACTTTTTACTTCTTTAACTGTTTGGTGAAAATTTCCAGAAAAACCTCTGGGCCTGGAGGTATTTTTAGTGAGAGTTGTTAATTAAAAATTCAATTTCATTAACAGTTATGGACTACTCGAATGATATATTTCACTGTGGGTGAGTTGTGGTAATTTGTTTAGGTAACCCGCAGGAAGAGAGAAAAAAGAAAACAGAAATAAAAAACAGAACACACACACTAGAATAAAATAAAATGAAGATTAAGTGTTAATGGTCTAAATCCCTTAAAAGACAGTGATTAGCAGAGTGGATTAAAAAGCACTACCTAAATATATGCTGTCTACAAAAAACACACTTAAAATATAAGCATATAAGTAAGTAGAAATTAAAATAAAGGAGAAAGCTATATAATGCAAACAGTACTCAAAAGAGTAAAGGAATGACTATATTAATATCAGATTAAGTAGACTTCATAGCAAAAAAAAAAAGACCAGAGATGAAGAGGGACCGTATTATAAAAGGATCAATCCACCAAGAAAACATACCAATCATAAATGTATATGCACCAAATAAACAGTGCTGAAAAATTAGTGAAACAAAAACTGATTGAACTGATAGGAGAAATAAACAACTTCCCAATTACATATGAAGTCTTCAACCTCTCTCAGTAATTGATAGGATAGAAAATCATCAAGGATACAGAAGAACTGAACACCATCAACTAACAGGATCAAATTAACATGTATAGAACACTACTCCCAAGAGCAGCAGCATATGCATTGTTTTCAAGTACCCATAAACATGTACCATGATAGACCATATCCTGGGCCATAAAATAAACCTCAAAAATTTAAACCAATTGGAATTATACAGTGTGTTCTCTAATTAAAAATGAATCAAGCCATGGCTGGTTTGGTTCAGCGGTTAGAGCGTCGGCCTGCGGTCCTGAGAGACCCGGGTTCGGTTCCCGCTAGGGGCGCGAACCTCGGTTGCAGTTTGTCCCCGGCCCTGGTTGGATGTGTGGGTGGCAGCCACTCGATGTGTTCCTTTCACATCGATGTTTCTCTCTCTCTCTCTGTTCCTCTCTCTTCCTCCCACTCTACCCGAACGAAAAATGGAAAAATGTCCTCGGGTGAGGATAAAAAAAAAAAAAAAATGAATCAAAACTAGAAATCAGTAACAAAAAGATAATAAGAAAACATACACATACTAGGAAACTAAAAACCACGCTTCTAAAATAAAGAAGTCTTGGGGGGAGAAAAAAAAAGAAAGATGAAGTCTTAAGGGGGAAATACGTTAAAAATAAATGAAAATGATTAACATAACATCAAAATTTGTGGGACACAGCTAACGCAGTGTTGAAAAGGAAATTTATAACACTAAATGCTTACACTGGAAAAGAGAGAAAGTCTCAAATCAATAAGCTAATAAGCTCCCAACTCAAGAAACTAGTTCAAGAACAGCAAAATAAACCCAAAGCAAGCAGAAGAATTAATAGATAAGAGCAGAAATAAATTAAGAAACAAAAAGATGCTTCTGTGAAATGGTCATTATTATTATTTTTTTAAAGAGTACACTTTATTTTTATTTATTTATTTTTTTATCCTCACCTGAGGACATTTTTCCATTTTTTTGTTCAGATACAGTGGGAGGGAGGGAGAGAGAGAGAAACATCGATGTGAAAGGGACACATCAAGTGGTTGCCACCCGCATGACCCAGCCAGGGCTGGCAACAAACCACAACAGAGGTACGTGCCCTTAGCAGGAACCGAACCCGGGGTCTCTCCGGACCACAGGCCAACACTCTAACCACTGAGCAAACCGGCCAGGACAGCAGCATTTTTATAATGGCTGCTTCTAAATCTTTGTTGGACAATTCTAATATCTGTCATCTTGGTACTGCATTTATTAATTTTCTTTGATCAAGGTGAGATCTAAAATGCCTGACTCTTGTGTTCATTCATAATGCTGTTCTGATTTTTAGAAGGCAGGAAATGGTGTAAATGATGATAGGCTAGTAAAGCTCAGGATGTGTGTTGGGAAAGACTAGAGCTTTCTTTAACAGAGACAGTCTCTCTGTGGGTGGGGCAGCCCGGGCTTGCTTGGGTTTCTAGAAGGGATCCAACAAGCATTTCTTCTGGAGTACCACTAGAACCTAAGAACCTGGTGCTAGGGACAGACAATCTCTGCCTTTTAAGAATGTGATCTCTGCCTTTTAAGAAAATAATATGTACTAGAAATAGATAGATGTACAATGGGATGTATAATTTCTCATAGTAACCAAGAGGTCCCACCAGCCCCTTAATCTGTTGCTATACCTTCCCTTCCCTTCCCTCCTGTCCTTCACTCACTCACTCAAACATATACCAAGCATTTTATTTCATGCCAGCCTTTGAGCAAAGCACTGGGAACACAAAGACCAGTTAAGAAAAAATGGCTTCCAAAACCAGTCATTACTCTTGAGGAACTGAACTTACTATTTTCTCTGGCTGAAATGACCTCTTCCCTTTCCACAAAACCCAAATCCTCTTCTACTTAAACTTTCTTCTCAAGTCTTTGCAAATGAAGGCTATGTGCATACAGTCAATCCAATTATTACAGCTGTCCCCTTTCATTTGTGTTTATGCATTTTACAAATTCTAAATGTTTTGGCCTTCTATTTATAGATGCTATCACTACAAGGTCCCTATTATAATGAAACAACCTCTCATGGGGTTATGTATTAATAGGGTTATGTAATTAACGCTCTGTTTCTCTTCAAAGACTAATAAATACTACTGATTTTTGAGTCAGACCTGGAAATCCTGGTCTCCAAAATCTTACATTTCAGATTGGACCTCAAGCAGTTTTATCCTGTAAATGGGCATATATTTTATCCCTAAATAAATAAGCTTTCCTTTAACTACTAACCTATCCTAGTCGGGTTTACTCTGCCACTGATCTGAATGAACTGGTGAACATGGTATGTGACTTTGTTTTTTTTTTTTTTTTTTAATCCTCAACCGAGGACATTTTTCCATTTTTTGTTCAGGTAGAGTGGGAGGGAGAGAGAGGAACAGAGAGAGAGAAACATCGATGTGAAGGGACACATCGAGTGGTTGCCACCCGCACAACCGACCAGGGCCGGGGACACACTGCAACCGAGGTACATGCCCTTAGCGGGAACCGAACCCGGGTCTCTCAGGACCGCAGGCCGACGCTCTAACCGCTGAGCCAAACCGGCCAGGGCTGACTTTGTATTATAAATGTGTAATTAGCCACTCAAAGTCTCTCCCAAGCAGCACCCAGATAACCATAAGAATATTCATTCTCCAAGTTAAAGATGTAAGCATACAAATACCTGAGGGAAGGCTGTGGAAGAGTATCTGGACTGGCTGGTACCTGGACACCCTTTTCCCACTCTTCTTTCCATGTATCCGTAAAGAGGTAATAGCTGTCAGGATTGATGTGGTGAGAATCTGAAAGTTTCATGGCACTGATGAGGTCCTTTCGGAATACCTGGGAAGACATTGCACACATCATGAAGGAACTAAACCCATTTAATGCTATTTTTAAAAGACCACCCCCACCAATTCTATACTTCAACAAGAGAGACATCTTGAACTTCCTAAATGGCCAGGTAAACTATTTGGAAGGGGTTTGACATACTGACAGGGAAGCCAGCTTGTTCTGGATTTAGTAAAGAGTAAAGGGGCCCTCTCTGAATTATTTTCTTGGGTTCCTTGAATTTTAATGAACAATATAGGTTACTCTAAAACAGTTTGTATAAAACAAACAATCCTAAACTCTCTAAAATTCAGCAACAAGTATCCTCTGATAACTTACAATAGTTTATTTAGCCATCAACTTATTTTTTATTTACTCAGAAATAATTTTAGACTTTCCAGAATCCCACATCACAATTAGTTGTTATGTCTCCTTAGTATTCTCCCATTTGTGAGTTTCTCAGTCTTTCTAGACCCTGACACTTTTGAAGAATAGTGGTCATGTATTTGATAGAATGTCCCCACAATTTGAATTTGTGTGATGTTTTCTCATAATTAGACTGAGGCTACTAAATTTTTGGCAAAATACACAGAAATTATGCCATGCCCTTCTCATTCCATTGTATCAGAGATATGTAATGCCAGTCATTTTTCAATTTTTTATTTTTTTTCTTTAATGATTTTTAGAGAGAGAGGAAGGGAGAGGGAGAGAGAGAGATGGAAACACTGATGAGTGAGAACACTGACTGGCCGCCTCCTGCATGCCCTCCACTGGGGATTTGGCCCACAATCTGGGCATGTGCCCTGATGGGAATCGAACCAGTGACCTCTTGGTGCATTGGTCAATGCTCAACCACTGATCCACACTGGCTGGACGCCAATGTCTTATTAGTGATGATGTTAAACTTGATCACTTGGTTAAGGTAGCATCTTGCTGGTTTTCTCCACTGTTAGGTTATTATATTTTCCTTTGTAATTAACAAATATCTTAGAGGAGACACTGGTTATAAAAACATCCTGTTTCCACATCAGGACCAGAGGTATGGATACATGGAACAGACTGACAGACTCAGAGCGGAGGGTGGGGGAGGGGACTGAAAGAGATTAATAAAGAACATAAATATATGCATAGACCATGGACACAGAAAATAATGTGGTAAAGGCCTGGGGTGGAGTAGGGGCTGGGTGGAGGTGGGCAAAGGAGGAGAAATTGGGGGATATCTGTAATACTGTCAACAATAAAACAAAACAAAAAAGGTATCCTGTTTCTTCTCAAATTGGCATTTGCTAATTTTAGTATCCACTGCCCTTTTCTCCCCCATTTATCTTTTTATTTATTTATATCATTATAGATTCATGGATACCTATTTTATTCTTTGGGTTATAATTCAGTGTTATTATTTATTGTTGCTGAAATTTTACCACCTTTGGTAATTGGAAGCACTTTCAGATTGGCAATTTCAATACGTCCCATACTTTTTGGAGTACTTCCTTAATTTCCTATATTCCTATATGTCTCAGGCATGTTTATATCTTCTACCTGATTATAAAAGCTATTGATTTTATGTTAATTTCATATCCTGCTATCTTACTCAATTCTCCTATTGCCTTGGTTTTATCATTGATTTTTCCTATAGTTTTCCAGATATACTATCATATCATCTGAAAATAGAGAGGGTTTTGCATCTTCTTTACCTAGTCTGTTTCTAATTGTTTTCTCGTTTAATTCCATTGGCTAATACCTATATTAATATTTGAAATAGTAATGGGGATAGGGCATATTTTCTTCCTAAAATTAGGAAAGATGTCTCATTAAGTAAGATACTAGGTTGTGCTCGCTTCGGCAGCACATATACTGAAATTGGAACGATACAGAGAAGATTAGCATGGCTCCTGCACAAGGATGACATGCAAATTCGTGAAGCGTTCCATATTAAAAAAAAATAAGATACTAGGTTGAGGACTACACTGCATATATTTCATAATGTTAAGAAAGTATCAAACAACAAGTGTTGGAGAGGGTGTGGAGAAAAGGGGACTCTAATACACTGCCGGTGGGAATGCAGACTGGTGCAGCTGCTGTGGAAAACAATATGGTGTTACCTCAAAAAATTAAAAATTGAACTTCCATTTGACCCAGTGATCCCACTTCTAGGAATATACCCTAAGCAGCCTGAAACACCAATCAGGAAGAATATATGTGCCCCCATGTTCATAGCAGCACTATTTACAATAGCTAAGATCTGGAAACAGCCCAAGTGTCCATCAGTAGATGAATGGATAAAAAAGCTGTGGTACAATGTAGTACGATGCAGCGGTAAGAAAGAAAGATCTCTTATCCTTTGAGACGACATGGAGGGACCTGGAAAGTATTATCCTAAGTGAAATAAGCCAAGCAGAAAAAGACAAATACCACATGATCTCACTTATATACGGAATATAATGAACATAACAGTCTGAGGAATACAGTAGACCCAGAAACATGGAAGTAGGGCACAGACTGACATCCCTCAGAAGAGGGTGTGGGGGGGGGGGGAGAGATAAACCACAGAACTTATATGCATGTATGCATGACCAATGGACATGGACAACTAAGCCGGGGACGGGGCGGGAGTGGGGTGGGGAGGGGGGTGCCAATGGGGTAAAAAAGGTAATATATCTGTAACAAAAAAATAAATAAATAATTTAAAAAAATAAAATAAATAAAATTAAAAAAAATAAAAATAAATAAAAAAACAAACAAACAAAAAAGAAAGTATCTTGCCCCGGCCAGTTTGGCTCAGCAGTTAGAGCGTCGGCCCGCGGACCAGAGAGGCCCAGGTCCAGTTGCTGCTAAGGGCACGTACTTCGGTTGCAGTTTGTCCCCGGCCCCGGTTGGGGTCATGTGGGTGGCAGCCACTTAATATGTCTCTCTCACATCAATGTTTCTCTCTCTTCCTCCCTTTCTCCCTCCAACTCTATCTGAAGATGAATGTAAAAATGTCCTTGTGTGAGGATAAAAATAAATAAATAAAAAAATTAAAACAATAATAAAGACAGTATCTTACAGTTCTATTTTTGACTGTTTTATAATCACCAAGTATTGAATATTATTAAAGGCTTCTTCAGTGTATATGAAAATAATTATATAATTTTCCCTCAGATATATTAATATTGCTGTATGATAATATTAGATTCAATACTGAAATAAACTTTCATTTCTAGAATGAATGTCATTTGGTTATGAAAAATTATTTTCTGAATATGGTATTGTATGCTGTTTTCTAACATTTTATTAAATATTTCTGTATCATATCCATGAGTGATATTTATCTGCAGTTATCTTTTTTGTATTGTCCTTAAGGTTTGGTGTTATGCCCTGGCTGATTTGGCTCTGTGGTTTGAGTGTTGGCTTGTGGACCAAAGGGTTTTGGGTTCGATTCTGATCAGGGGCACGTACCTGGGTTGCAGGTTCGATCCCTAGCCCCAGCCAGAGTTGTGCGGAAGGCAACTAATCCATGTGTCTCTATCACATAGATTTTTCACTCTCTCTATCCCTCTCTTCCTCACTCTCTAAAAATCAAAGGAAATATACTCTCGGATGAGGAATAACAACAACAAAAAAAGGTTTAGTGTTATGCATGCTTCATAAAAAAGATTAGGAAATTTTCTTTTTGTTACAATGCTATAGAATAATCTAAAATTTACTGGGACTATCTGGTCCCTATGAAATCATCTGAACTTGGTGGGGTTTTTTTTGTGGGGCAGTTCCTTAATAACCTTTTTTTTTTTCTTTTTTGAAATTTATCTCTTTAAGCTTTCGACCTCTAATGAAGTCAATTTTGGTAATTTGTATTTCCATAAGAAGTTATCTTCTTTCAAACAATTTTTTTTCCTTTATTGATTTTAGAGAGAGAGAAAGGGAGAGGGAGAGATAGAAACATCAATGAGAGAGAACATCGATTGGCTGCCTCCTGCATGCCCCCCACTGGTGATCAGGCCCACAACCTGGGCATGTGTCCTGACTGGGAACCAAATCGGCGACCTCTTGGTGCATGAGTGAACCACACCGGCTGGACAGAAGTTATCTATCTTATCCAGGTCTTCAAATTTACTTGTAAAGCTGCTTGCAAAGTATACACAGTTCCACTTCGCACAGCAGTGTGGGACCATAAAAGTGACAGTGAGCACAGAAACTGTGAAAAGCAATCTTAATAATTAATAGAAAAAATTATAATTTTTCTATGTCTTTAAACATTGTGGTCAAAAAATCAGAAAGTCTCTTACTGTTGGTTACAAATGTAGAGAGAAATGAAAAATAGAACTACTGTAATAGTTTTAGTATACTGTTAAATAAATATGAGAAATATTGAGATTTCTTTTTTGTGTGTAGAAAAGCTTATCAGACAAGATGGGGCATGTTCTGGATAGTATGGCCGTAGACTCACAGAAAGAGAAACGACAAAAACAATCCCATTTACCACTGCAGCAAAAAAAAAAAAAAAAAAAAGTTAAGATACCTAGGAATAAACTTAACCAAAGAAGGACTTGTTCACAGAAAACTACAGGACATTGAAAAAAGAAATAGAGCCCTGGCCGGTTTTGCTCAGCGGTTAGAGCATCAGCCTGCGGTCCCGAGAGACGTGGGTTCGGTTCCCGCTAAGGGCATGTGCCTTGGTTGCAGTTTGTCCCCGGCCCTGGTCGGTCGTGCGGGTGGCAGCCACTCGATGTATCCCTTTCACATCAATGTTTCTCTCTCTCTCTCTTCCTCTCTCTCCCTCCCACTGTACCTGAACAAAAAATGTCCTCGGGTGAGGATAAAAATAAAAAAATAAAAAAAAAGGAAAAAAGAAATAGAGGAAGATATAAAAAAAAAAAAGTGGAAGCATATACCTTGTTCATGGATTGGAAGAATTAACATCATTAAAATGTCCATACTACCCAAAGCAATCGATAGATTCCATGCAATTCCCATTAAAATACCAACGACATATTTCACAGAACTAGAACAAATACTCCAAAAGTTTATATGGA